GTGTGTGTATGCACGGCAACATCTATCTGTAAAATTCATAAATATTTTGATGTTTTTGCTAACTGATTTTTAAAGGTTTATTTTAAGTAGCGAGAGGCCTGCTTTCAAAGCAGCGTCGTTTACGCTGTCATAGCTTCCTCCCTAATGTAAAATGTAGATATTATATTAAATGATATTGCAATCACATTAGCGCTAATTACAATATTTTATGTCGTTTTTGAATGATGTTTATATCTGCGCTGGTTGCTGAGATATATAAGAATTTATTAATCGTTGACTATATGCATTATGCAAAAGCATTTTATAATTTTCTATCGTTCAATCTTGTTCGAGAGAGCATGCCTCACATTAAAGGACACACAACAATGATAAGATGAACGTATTTCTTGAGATTAGTCCCGTGTCGTTCGTCGCATTTCGGACCGTCCTCCTACCGAGCGCGAGCGACGGCATTCCCGGAGGTCAAGGCCAATTTAGAAAATCAATAATGTACAGCTGCTCGTCGAAAGTAGATCAAGGCCATGTGTCGCTGGCTTAGCGCGAGAAAATCTTCCCTATTGTTTATCGCAAATATCTGGGCAACCACCCAAGATATAGAGATGATTCTAAAAGGACTGTTCAGTTTATACTCTGCGCTATTGGAATATTTGGATTTTGTTACTAACAATTACGTCTTTCCGTTTATTTAACATGATAAAGCGTGCGCGTGCCGTAAAGATCGGCCGCAAATGCATGATTTCTGACTTTCATAAAACGCTTATATCTCGGCAATCGTAAAAAACAGAAAGATGATTCAAAAAGCATTTTTTAGATCGTGCTCTATTCTACTAGAATTGCTCACTTTTATTATTGGCAATTGTTTATTTCCGTTTATTAAGACGAAAAAGCGCGCAAAATCTTATGGATTTGGGCGCCAAGCGATTTATAACTTTCGTTAAATGTTTGTATCTCGGCAACCGCACACGAGAGAAAGACGATCCAACAAGCACTCGTTAGTTTGAAATCTGCCCTATTGGACGTAGTTATTATTAATACTGGCAATTTTACAGTTTCAATTTACTAAGACGAGAAAGCGCGCAAGATCCTATAACGAAACGTGCGCCGGGCGACTTTTTATTTTCATTAAACACTTATCGTATATATTTCGGCAATCATAAATAATATAGGTATAGAAAAATGATAGACAAATACTACAAAATGATTTTAGTTTTCTTTTCTCGTTTATAATGTTGTTTTTAAGCTAATTTCATGGAATTTTTGTTAAGTATTTTTGTTGCGCGCCGACTCCGAAATTATATCAAAGTGCGAGTCATTTTTGGCTAAAATTATATGGAATAAATATGTTCTCGTCAAGATATAAGGTAATATTAGTTGTTCACTGTCGTAAAAATCGCCAATGTACCACTTAATATTGTCAATTTATATAGTATCGATCGTAAAACTATGCTTTTTATCGTTACGTAATTTAACGGCAGCCGTCAAAGTATATATTCGTAAATGAGATTAATTCGTATTAATTAAGAATACTTTGGAAATTTTCAGACACTGCCTCGGGTATGTGTTCATATGTCATGGAAATTTATTTAGAAGAAATCTCTACAACTTCATGGAGAGAAGTCCTTACGATTACTCTGAATGTAATTGTTACAATTTAAATTCTGGGCGTTTATTTTTCAGGATTTGTTATCCAGGTAGCAGCATTATGTCAGTTTAAATAATTTTTTATTGATAAAAAATAAAGAGACAATAAATTAGACAAAATTTGAATTAATTATGTCAAATTTTATCTAATACAGTATTTTATTTATGCTTTAAGGTCAATTTTTAGATTTTACCTTAAATGTACAAAATTACTTTCATGTAAATAAAATTTAAAACAATCCTACTGTAACTGATATATATTTTATAAATAAATAAATTTTTACTAATTTATATTTAGAGCGTATTTAAAAAATCTATATTATTTTAGAATAATTGGAGGCTAATAGCAGCGATTTTTATCATATCTTTGATATCTCCTGTGTTATGCGTTATTTATTTCATGGGCGAGAGGGTCCTATGTGGTTGCTCTTGAAAGGCCGAAAAGAGGCAGCCAGGAAACGATAGAATTTCAGGAACAATTTGCCAGAATGGTAAACTACTATGAGACGACAAATAATTTTGAAATATCTCGAAACTGTCAATCAGAGTCCTCCTTCCTACCTGGAGCGTATGGAGCAATAAAACTGAAGAGCATCCAGGGAATAACTCTTTTATCAGAAATGTGGAAGCCATTTGTCATATTAAATATCTGCTTTTTTTTATAACTTTTTAGTGGAGCGCATGTCATTGTATCTTATACCGTCGATATAATCATCAGGCTTAACATCACAATAGACCCTTTTTTGGTCATCGTCGTAATAGGAATTATTCAAGTGATAGGCAATGTGCTCATAGCATTCTGTAGCAAGAGGTAATTATTTTTATTCGAATTTGATGTGATATTCAATTTTGGTAGCTCTAAACAATGAGTAATAGTAATTCTGACATATTTATTTTGTATCAAGACTTTCGTGGTTAAGCTGTAGATTACTTTATTAAAATACAATGGTTGTCAGACATTCGTTACAATATATCGTCCAAAAGGATAATGTTCCGAAAAACTATAATAAATGTTCGAAATTCTATTAGAATTGGTCGTAGTGTCACTTCGATTGTGTCCAGTGCCGGTACAGCAATTTCTTTGAGCGCTTTAATGATGTATCTGCAATTTTTTTAGAACACTGGCGTTGCAGCTGTACCTCTCGCTTGTATCTTCCTCTATATGGTAAGAAAATAATATTTTCAGGAATATTCATAATATTCATCTTGCCTGTCAAATAGTCGTAATTTTTTTTAAAGAGATAATTATAATAATGATTTTAACGCAAGTTTAAATCCAATAGTAGATATTAAACTCTGGGTATTTGTTTTTTTAAAGAGCTTCTTGAAAAAATTTGTCAATATGTTTACTATAGCTATAGCTATAAAGCTCACTATTAATCAATAAATTGCAGGCATTTGGATCGTTCGCATTATTGTCGATTACTTATTCGTTGATTGCGGAATTGTATCCCAGCAAGTGCATAAACGTTCTCGTACAGCTTTTCTCCATTTTATGCAGTTTTACCACCGTACAATTGTATCCAATGATGGTAACGCAAGACAGAAATGCCACTTTTTACTTATATTGTATAACATCCATCATAGCTACCATTTTTATAACGATTGCGCTACTGGAGACACGAGGAAAGACGAAAACACAGATAGAAGAAGTCTTCAGGGGCAAATTAAAAATTGAAAGTGCATGCTAAACGAGTGAAGCAACGAACGGTAAAATATTAGTAATTCGTGCAATTCAATAAGTAATGCGAGAGTTTGTAAGTGATGTAAACGCGATCAGTTGCGAAATAAATATTTTTTTGGAAAAATAAATAATAAACGCTAATTTTCATATTGGAGCAAAAGAAATTAGAATACTGAAGAAATTATTGAATGTGTGTGTCCCTCTAGAACGGTAAGAAAGAACCTTACAGATTGCTCACAGGATATATTACAACTGAGATATGGATGGAAATTAACACAACCAACCGCTATCAACCGAACAAATTACGCAACTATATATGTACATTCATTATTTGTTATGAAAACGCTATTAAATACTTACAAAGATTTATTAATTTATCGGTATAATAATCAAAATTCCCCTCAAAATTACAGAAATTATTTTTTAATACTTTTAGAAAATAGTTTTTTATGTCTTTCTCTTTTCTTTTAGGTCTATTAAAGATCAGGTATTCAATATTTTTTTATACATATATTTCTGCTTGCATTCTCTGTCGACAAAATTTATAGCAATCATTACGCAAAAAATGTTTTTCGTCTTTTGACTATCTGAAATAGTTATTTAGCTTAAATTAATTTAAATGTGCACATGTGTGGCAAAACAATTGAGTCTCGTAAGTTGTCAGCTTCAAAAATGTCAATCAAAAGCATTTCTACATTATTTATTAATTATTAAAACATTATTTTTATAAATAATAAAATGCACCATTGTACTACGCAAGGTGATCATCATCAAATATAAATATAAATTATTTAAAATACAGCACAGAAAAATAACATTTTAAATTATGTAAGATAATATGTAATTTTTGCTCTTATTTAGATATATAAAAACTACATAAAATATGTTTTAAATAATACTTGCAGCATATTATGATGTATGTATGTTAAAATTACATCATGTGAAAATATTTAAAATGTCGTTTATCTGTTATTTTAAATAATTTGTGTTTTATACTATATCATTCGATGCTCACACATACATATCTTGAACAGTACAATTTTGACAAGTTCAATTTTCGAAGTCGTCGTCTCACTGCTCGCGTACACAGCCACGTAAATCTCATACATATGCACATGCGTTTTATGTACTGTGCGGTTACAATGTACACCATCGAGTGAAACACTTTGCGTTTATAAAATCAGTGCAATCAAATAATATCGTTCATATACATAGAGTTTTAAATTGTACATATTTACAGTTGATAAAAACTAAATTTTTGGTCGCACTGTAAACATAAGGCGTTGCAGAAAAAGTTAAAAATTAATTAATTAAAATGCAAAAACCCACGAACCGGAAGAAAAATGTATTTACAATTTTGCATCGCAAAATATTCAACGAATATTAATAAATCTTTACAGTGTAATTTTCTTTTTGTTCTATAAAAACATAAATGATCGATGAAACGTTTCGAAACTCATTTGTACATATTTTACATTGTAAAGTTCAATTACAATTCTTATATCTAGCTATTTGTATCTATATATGTATATAACATGTGTAATTTATATGTATATACATCTGTTCCTTCCTAAGAAAACAATTCAGCCTAAATTATCTTAATACATTAACTTATCCTTTTAATATTTTGCTTGTATGTTATGAATTCTCAATAAGACTAAATCTACCTATCTAGCTATTAGTGTAAATTGTCACATGCAAATAGCGATATCAACATTATATTCTGTAATCATGTAATCAGATTAAATTATTAAAATCCGAAGATATTTTTCAAATAGGCTCAGCAAAACAATTGAAATCTATCATCGCCTTTTCTATGCTCTTGTTTTTAATGACTTTTTTTAATGACGTAAAAGTTAACCAGCTAATTTTTACAAGTTTAAAAAAGTCAATAACCATAAGATCATACTTTAATACCAGAAGGATTGTGGCGGTGGCCTAGGTGGTTGCTGAAAGCTCTGTGCCGTGTAAGGGCTAGCAAAAGCTTGAGGGTGAGGATGAGTGCTGTAGGCATGATGTTGCTGCAGACTCGTTGGCGGACTCGGTAGATTGACTCTACTGCCACTGGCGGTAATCGCGAGATTCCATGATGGCGATGTGGTTCCTTGACTGGTCTGTTGTTGGGTTTGTTGTTGCTGTGGCTGTGGCTGTGGCTGCTGCTGAGGAGGTGAAACCGAACTGATCGGCAGTTCCGATGAGGCTAATTGATCGGGAGCTGATGTCGAGTTGCCCGAGTTCGGTCCCATCATGGTGACGAGAGAGTTCGGAGTCGGTGGTAGCTGATGATTACTTGTTTGCTGATAGCTGGACGACGTGGAGACCGCTTGGTGAGCCATATGAGCGGTTGTCGACGAGGCCGGCGACAATACCGATAAATTGGGATACGTCACCGTGGCCGGAAAACTGTAAGTCGAAGTCGAGCCAACGGTCGAGGGTAGTCGTGTCGCGGAGTCCGCCAATTGATGAGTCACTGATGCATGATGAGATGAATACAATTCTGAAACTGAAATAAAACGTAGCGGTGATCATCTTTTTCTATCATGATTTATTACAAAGATAACATTGAATTAGGAACAATATGCGTTATCCTCATTTACATAAACATATACACACACATACCTTGGCCGGAAGAGAATGCCGTGTCTGGCAGACTCTGAGGATGCGGATGCGAATGTGGATGTGGATGACCCGGCGGCATGGCTGCTCCTGGGTGAGGATGAGGCGGTCCCGGTGGATGAATAACGTAGCCGGTCGGATAGGCTACGGAACCGACGTATCCAGCAGACGTCGACGAGGAGATATGTTTTCTCAATCTAGCTCTTCTATTGCTGAACCACACTTGAATCCTGGCTTCGGACAATCTCGTTCTCTGAGCGAGTTCCTCTCTGACGTATATGTCAGGGTATTGAGTCTTCTCGAATGCCCGTTCCAACTCATCCAGCTGGTGAGCTGTGAAGGTGGTCCTGCTTCTGCGCTGCTTCCTCTTCAGCGGGATCCCCGGTTCGCTCTCGCAATCGGATCCAGAACTTGCTTTCCCTACAAGATCACGTTAAAAATGAGAAAGGAATGAGATAAAATTTATACACATATTTATATAAGAATGTCGTAATACACAATATAACTCTCTTCGAAGAGGAGTTTATGTATATTGAACACAGCTCTGCCGTCGATCTTAATTTGCATCGCGTTACAAGTTGTAAACACAATCGCAAGCTGTCGTAACAATTAGAAACTTCTTTTGGTTGGTTGATTTTTCTCAAGGTCAGCGAAAAGATTGAGCCATAAAATAATTATGAAACGCTGTTAACTATGAACTTTCGAGTGACAAAAAAGTTACATAAAGCGATCATACGTGACGATTGGCAAATAACAAAGCAAGGTAAAAAAAAAAAACGCCAAATCGCCAGCAGTAGGAAAAGATAGGTGGGTCGAGGGAGACTGTTCGGGTGTAAACATGTTGGTCGTATATCGAGTGTGAAACAAGCACCTGGCACGAAACCCGCGCGGTGCTCTTTGACACTGACGCACCGGTTCTTTAATAGCGAACCGTGAACCAGCAACGCGAACCTGCGCCAAGAGAATGACAGACGAGAGTGACAGAACAGAACGATAACTCTAATAGTTAACGTAAATTGAATTTAGCTTTAAAATTAAATTTCGAAGATGGTCTTTGTCAAATTCTAGAAAAAGACCTACCTCAAAGACAAGACAACCATGTCAACCATCTGACAACCATGGTGGAAGGAAACGAGGTGCGCTCGTTAGAGGGATGTGCAGACAGTGCAGACACTGCAGACGTCGCGACTGTAAACAAGCGAGCGGTATTCTTTGTGTATGTACGTGGCCTTCTATTGGCCAATATCATCAAATATCAATGTCGACAATGTCTCCCGCCCAGCGCACTCATTAGTTATTGGATCAAGGATGCAATCACAGCTTGTTTTCCTTCCACCATTCCTATAGGTATTGTCTAGACGTAATTTCTGAACGCACCCTAGCGTTCTCGCGATGGTTGCTCCTGGCGAGTGAAGTTGGCCGCGCGATTTATGAAATTCTCTCCGCTCTCCGCCATCTACCTGCGAGACATGATGAGTCGACGGGCGACGCGGGCGTCGAGCGGATCGTATAGCTCCGTTTGTAGAGTCTCCGTAAAATTCTTTCATCGCCGTGTTAATTAAGTACGCGTCGCGTCGCGAGATTAATACCGGGAGTGCCGTGCAAAGTGACGCGCGATCGTAAGTGACGATATTTTCACGCGTAAACGAGTCAAGTGAACGAGTGAGTGAGTGAGTGCGCCGACAGAGATGCGACAACGGACGAGGATCGAGGAGAGGAGGAGGGGGCCTGGGAGGCATTGGGCGACGGCGGAGCAACCGTGGAGTGAGTAATTGTTATTCATTTATTGTATTATTTTGCTGTCCTGTCAGTCCTGACTCCTGTGGCAGATTCCGCCAGTTTCTCAAGCGCGCGATAATTAATTATTGTTTACTTTTCAAGTATTGATTATATCTTGGACGTTGTTTTAACATAAAAATATATATTTCTGTTACAGATCAACGCAGGGTTTCAACTAACTCCGCTGTTGCGCATCGGCCGGTGAGTGATTTTTTTATTTTAAAATGTCGAGATAACGGATTTGTAAAAATTAAATTACGAATATTTCGAAAAGAGAGAATCTTATGGGCCATTCTGTCGCTGCTACGCGATAGAATATACGCGTTTCTGTATTCGAGAAGAAATAACTTTGCAACGTTTATGTGTCGCTCGATCACGCTTGTCTACGTCCGATTATGATCCAGTTCTGAAAATAGGCATTCTTTTGCGGCTTGCGCATTCCTAGCCGCGAGGAAACGAAACGAGATAGCACGTGATGCGCAGACACTGAAGACACGATGGAGAGACTTTTTGCTTCCGCGTGCGCTTCGCGATGTGCATTTCGGGATTGTCGTCAGTTTCTCGGGACTCAAGTTTACACGGCGCGCGACTAATCGGGCGACGACGCCTGACGCCGGGACGGGTCGCGTTAATGCAAATTCGACACGGGCTCTATTCCCGGCCCGTCGTCGTGCTTTTTTTCCATCCACCTCCGCCTCCGGGTCATTCCGTCCTCTCTTTCTCTCTCTCTCTCTCTCTCTCTCTCTCTCTCTCTCTCTCTCTCTCTTTCTCTTTTCATCATGTTTCTTGAATTCGACCGACACCTACCCGCGCGCAGATGGAAATAGTGCGAGCGACGACGTGGCCCAACAAACCTGAGGCCACGATCATGCCACGTCCACGTGCGATGAACGATCAGAAATAGCCTCGATGAAAGTCCCGTCAGGACGTCGTAGGCAATCACTTCCTTCCGACGAAACGCAAAGGCGAAATGAGTATTGTTTGAATGTCGAGCGATAAAAATAAAACAATCGAGGAAAGGGTGATCGATACCTTTCGTTCAGGTAGATGCTTAGATACCTCGACTATTGCTCGCACATATTGGCGATTTACATATTTTATACATATTTCAGACACGCATTTATTACATAAAAGTATTGTCACAATAATCGAAAGATCATCGCAATATAATTATATGTAAAGTGACGTATCTTATTATGTTCTTGAGAAATGTTTAATTTGAACGTCAGCGTTTTGCAATGAAAAAAATCGTTGTGAATGGATTTACGTGACGACTCCGCGCGTTCGCAGTCTCAGCAGACCTGGTAATCATTCACCCCGAGGATAATACTAGGTTCCGAAAACTTGAGGAATTACTAACCGGTCGCGGACGCTTAGCTCTACAAGGGATATAATTTCTGCTCTGCCTTTTTTTAATTTGCTTGTGGATGAACCGTGCATGGTCCACGACGATAAAAACAAAATCTCACGAAGATCTCACGTGTTATATCTCTATTGAACTACAAGGGGAGATGTAATACGCATAATTAGTAATTTATTGCCGCGATGGATTGCACGTTCGGCATGAGACCATAAAGAGAAACAAATTAAACGTCTAAAGTTGTAAATATAAAAAATCGCATTCAATTTTTTTTATTTGAGAGGCACGCGGCTTAACTAAAGAACCAACGATGTATCATTCATTGAATTAATTATTATTGATAATTCGGAGTGATTAACTACGAACAAACTTTAGTTAACGCAGAATATTGCTTATGTTATTAGGCTAATGTATACAATATATGAGATTTGTCTTCATCATATTTGTGGGGTCAACCCCTAACATTCGTTAGAGTGTCGCATACCTTCCTCGCCCAGTTGCCACCCCTCGACTTATCACGCATACTTATACCGTGCGACACGTTTTATATGCGAGAAAAACAATCCGACACGTTCGCCGAACAAAGGCGTCACTTCATCTCGACAGCTCCGACAGCTCCGGCAGCTCGACTCGTATGTTCGCAGCTTCGTGGGCGTTTAATAGACGGTGTCCCTTTTCATTCCTCACCCCTCTGCGAGGTCGTGTTATTTCTGCCCCAGTTTCTCTATTTTTTTCGACGGGCGCCCGACCGTCAGAGCGATCGACTTACAGGCGCAAGAATCCTCGTTCCTCTCCTTTCAACTGTGGTCCCTTTTATCTTTGCCGGCTTAGCAGCTTCTCAGACGATCCCAGGATAAATTCGTGTCTGTACACAATTCATTTGTCTTGTCAGCAGAGGAAAGAGACATTCCCTCTCCCCACTTCGGTACCAATTTGTATCCGTGTTTGGTGGGAATTTCTCCGGGACGTATAACAGAAATTCTAGATCCTCAGACCTCAGACTTCCCACAAGTGTGGTATTCATTTATCAGCATCTGTCAAACTGGTATTTCAGATATTTATCAAAGTTTACCGGACCATCTTAATTTTAATTATCGCCTGTGCATATTTTGATTGCTCAATATACATAATATAGTGATATATTTCTCTTTAAAAGCGCGATTTTTTCGGCATTTATGTATTTTTTATTTTAAATTTGGAGAAAGTGAAGAGAAGGGAATCCTGATTCATCCATAAGCCGGTAGACGCGCGTCCTTCGTCGGCCGTCGATTTTCTCGAGGACGATCGACATTTGCACGCGTGTAAGGCCCACATCTTACGTGCAGCTTGCCATACCGGGCTCGCGCGTACACACGTGGGCATGTACCGGGCGGTGAGAAAATTACAGAGCCCGTCGGACGGTTGCGGCCGACCCGGCTACTGGAGGGAGGCGATCCGACCACGGCGCACCGGAGGCGAACCGGCAATTTCCGAGACCGAGAAACGCGGGCACGACCGATTAATACGCGAGCATTTAATTTACTCATTCACCGTTGCCCGAGCGAGCAGTAGGCCCACACGGTGGTCCATCGTGTGGGCCAGGTGATGGGGCGTATTACGGATGCGAGATCCTTTCACCGCGTGAAATCCTCTGCGTTCGCGGTATCCTCGGATTTCTGTGGGCCCAAGTGGGTCAATAGTGGGTGTTCGGCGCACGTTTTCATGTACTATGAAATAATAGATCTCTCGCACATGAGATGATAATTTTTTTCATTATTTAATTAAATGTGTACAATCTGTGCTGTGGACAAAAGAACAATAGATCACAGCTGGTCTAATGTACTCTGTCTTAAAACACAAAAAATATACAAAATATTTTCGTATTAAAATATTCAAGATAAATTGAATAGGATTAAACTCCGAAAAAGTAAAGCAGAACAGCGAGGTAAAACTACCTGTGTTCTTTTCTTCTAAGAACTGCAAATTCTATAGGGTTAATCAGTCTTCGCAGGTAGCGAGTCTTTAAAAGGCAAAAATCTTTTTCGCACTTAGCTAACGTTGTTTTTTTAGCTCTTCTTATACGATGCATATAATTTTTACAAAATCTGTATCTTGATGCGTCGCGGGATTCGCAAGAAACGTGAAAAGCGACTAATTCAATTTTAAGAGGCGTCGCATAACGAACAACCGTATTCTCGGTCTCTTATGCGAGCCGATGTCGTTATAATCCAATTCCATGCAAGGATACTCGGCGTCGGGCCGATTCGCCGATTCGCCGGCGATCATCAATCTCTGTTAGGACGCGGGAAGAAACTCGGGCAGCCGCGAGAAGGCCGATGGACACCCGCTCAAGAAACCCGCCGCTGCCATTAGTGTGGCCGATCGAAGAAATTTCAGAGAACTCGTGAAGCAAGTATTTGTATCGGAGCGACAGTGACAGTGAGAGATAAGCTATTTTGTTTATGCGTTAAAATATGAGTTAATTCCGCATGGGGTGTTAAATTTTCGTACTATAGAAAAATGTTTTTAAATTAGTATATTAAGATTTGGAGCACAGACCAAATTAATTTCCAACGCTTAGTTCCTAGAATTATTTTTCGTGGTAATATTTAAAATTTATTAATCAGTTAGTGAAAAATCAAAAACGAAAATAATTTGAACAAAAGATGTATAAGATGGTGATTTATGTGAGATTATAATTTCTATTCTTCAAAGAAAAATATTTTCGAGAAATTTTCTTTTTCTTTCTTTTGTTTTTCGGGCATATATTTTCTGCACTTGCCAAGATGCCCAAGGTCTGTACTCCGAATTCTACCTAACACTACGGGCTTTTTACTTGCTACACTAATGATTATTTGTGTAGCAATTGTGGGACTTCTCACCGTCACCTAGTTTAACGTCGTCTTCGGAATCGCGACCCCTGAGTAGTCGTGAAATCGCGGACACACTCGGAGCGCTGGTCCGTTCGCAGATGCCCTCTTTGATCAGTCGATCCCTGATTTCCCATGAGAACATACCCGGGTTGTCGCGCTTGTATTCCTCGATTCTCGCCTCCACTTCCGGTGTAGCCACACGTGGTTTGCTGCCGCCGATGACTCCGGGTCTGATGCTACCAGTTTCCTGATAGCGATTTAAAATCTTCGACACGCATCCATGGGACACCCTCAATTGTCTATTCTCAATGGGTGATAATAGACGAATCAGTTCAGATATCGATGGATATATTCAAAATAAAAATAAAATAATAATCTATATTTCTATTTCAAGAAGTTATCGTTGAATTAACCGGAAAGATCCTCGATTTGAGACACTGTACCTCGATATAACGCACGGCCTGACCCCCGCGGCGGCCATCTCGACGATCTTCAACCTGATATGATTAGGCAGCGGTCGTCCGTTGATGAAGATACCACCGAGCTGATTTACACGGCCTTGGCCCGGTATCGATCCTATGTCTGCAACAAGCGATACACTTCCTCCTTTTATCGCTTCCATAACTGAAATTCGAAGTAAACGTTACGAATGTCACTGGATGTTAATAATGATAAATCCTTTTTTCAAATTATATTTTTTTCTTTCTCTTATTTTGATCGTTTTCGAGGAGACCCCAGGAGACGCAATTGAGAAATTGTCCTTTAGTCAGCTTGATTTCCATGTCTTACCGGAAGTTAAGGAGAAGAGAAAGAGAGAGAGAGAGAGAGAGAGAGAGAGAGAGAGAGAAAGACAGTTGACGAGGTGGTGGCGGGACGGTTATTGGACGGCGTATAAAGAGAGCAGTCTGGATTTATCGCTGCACCGCATGCTTGATTTGACTTCTTTCTCTCGTTCTCTCGAAGCGGAAGGGAGAGAGGAAGAGAAAGAGAATAGGATGAAGAGAGCGAGGAAGAGAGAGAAAAAGAGAGAGTTATAAGCGCGGGCGGCTGGAGCGTATAAAGCGACCAACGCCGTAACTACCGATAAGTCCAATAAATCCCGGTGCAGTTTATGACGCACAACAATGATAGCGTATAATTTGCTCGGCTTATTTAATTTCGCGTTACACGACGACGATCTCGGCCCTGATCTATAAAGAAAAAGGAACGCGCGCGGTCCAGGAAAGAATCTTTGCAATTTTTACTGATCCAGAACGCGCTTTTTAAGAAGCGAAGCAAATAACGTGACACTATACGCATTGTGACTTAAGCTAAATGTATATGTTGTAATTCTTCGTGGTATCTTCATTACTTTTGGCCTCCGATGTTGTAAAGAACGACTATTTTGGAACGGTAAAATTACAATTGAGAATAAAGGCGATAATAACGAGACGAATGAGCTGTACAATTAGAAGAGCAAAAAGGAGACGCGCAATCGCACGTTCGACATTAAATAAAAACGCGCTCGCTCATACAAGACGCGATAATCGACTAAAAAAGGGAATCCCAATGACAGCGCGATGAAAAATCAGATCGTCCAGGCGAGACGGTGATCGGCGCGTTTCCTTCGCGTTAACAGTGATACTTATTATAGTTACAACATACTATGTATATTGTTAACGTAATCGACATATTAGCTATCTTATTCATGCTAATCGATGTGGATTTTAATCGATGTTCTAAGAGAGCGCATTGTAAAACAGAACCTTCTTGATTTATGTGAACGTCCTTGATGCTTATAAAAATTGCGCTAAATGCTTTATATCGGTAATATATGAGTGGCTTAACATAGACAATTTATTATGAATTTATTTATAATAATTATTTATAATTTGGTACTTTCTGCACAAAAATGTAACTTAATATCTCGCACGACGTTTTTCAAAATACGTATAAAGATAAAAAAATTATAACCGTTGCGCCATGAAAATTGAAAGAAACATTTTTCTTTTTTAAAATATCCATAAAATTGACAAAAGTATAAATGTGCATTATTTTAGTAACTATCGATACGCTAAATATTACTTGTATCAATGCGCATTGACGCAGATTAAATTAATTCTGCGGTTTTCAACGCCCGCCGTATTGGCAAATTATTAATCGTTTAGAGAGCTCGCGGTGAGAAGGAAGCGGATGATTGATCCCGTGGCTTTCACTTTTCCAATCCGCGGGTGCAAAACGTCGCACCACGTAAGTAAATTTTTTTGTATAGGCAAAACGCATAAATTTCCAATAAAATATAACGATCCGATCGCGATAAGTAATATACATTGTTGCACTTTCACAATTACGGCTCGGCAAAGATATGGAAATGATAGCATCGTCGTTATCGCCGTAGTCGTTATCGTCATCGAGAGATGACGGGAAACGCGACTGGGTACGGTCACACGCTTTCGTTTGTAATTAAACACATTTCCGCGTAAAACACTTTGTCGCACAAGACAAAGGGTAAGCAGGCTTCGACTAACGCGACCGGTAAAAAGCATCCGCAGAAAAAGGAAACCGCTATCCGATTGCGCAGAACGCTTGCATAACCGTAGCCATGCATCGCCGCGGGTGCAATCGATGCTCGAAAAACCGCGCGCAAATGCCCCCGCCGATAGCGATCGCGTTCCTCCAAAGTGACTTCCGATTCAATTGATCGTTTAATTAACAAATCGGTGCTATGCGGAGATTCCATTAACCCGGAGTTTCCAGCGTCTCTCAAGCGACTCTGCTTTTAACTTGAAACACGTTCTCAAGAACGAGGAAAAGCTTCTCGACCCAACCGCTCAGAAAAGGCGCGACTCATAAATCATTATAATGACGGAATCGCGATGCAAGAAAAAAAAATCTTGCTCACTGCGATGAAGTAATTAATGACCATCATTGAAAACTTCTATGCGTGGATTTTACGGAAGCGCATTCGTTGAGTGTTAATCGTCCGTCACCATTTACCGTCGTGATTTCCGCGAGCACACGCTTTCGCGTCTCGTTTCCAACTGGTAAATCATCAAGCGACTAATTACATGTACTCATTAGTCGCTCGGGACACCGCATGTCTGGACACTTGATGAATCGCGTTATTTAATTTTATAAACCTTGTTATTAAACGTATCGTCCACATTTTTTGTTTGTGAAGGAATGATGTATCCGCAGGACATTTTTTTCTCAGACTTACACCTTTTTTTCTCTTATACTGTCCCGGGTAGCGCAAGATGCACGAGCATATTGAAAAGCTGGGCAATAGAGCGCTCAAATTTATGGTGCAATAAATGACAAATGGAACAAAGTCCGGATATATACAGGATGAAATAATTTATAAATTCTCGAACGGGAATAGATACTTTTATGCTCCTAAAGCAATAATGACTAAATTACATAAATTTTGTAAAAAATACTAAGTGTGTAATTTATTACTAGCCAGAAGTTTTTTAAGAATATACCTATAAATTCTGTATTTTCCTGTATTTCCATAATACAATTCTGAGAAGAATCGATTGTGACATGATTAGACGCCAAACAATTTACGAGGACGAATAACAATAAATAGACGATAAGCACACATACAAAAGCAAATAAAGGTATACTATACATACTGTAAATATATATTGGTACGAGACACTACCGTGTCTTTTGATATTCTAAGATAAATAGAGAGAAAGAGAGAGAGAGAGTGAGAGAGAAAACTGACAGAAATCAGCTGGAACGATTCGAATACACGGGAAATATTTATTTTCAACGACGTTAGAGTTCTGTATATGATTTTGATAAATTACAGAAAAACTCTCTCTAAAATTGTGAGACTAAATGAATGATTTATCCCAGACATTTTTGTTAATAAAATTCTTTGTTCTTCAGAATGCACAAAATGTGAGGGAAAAAATGCTGTAAAAAAATGCAATTAAAATGTCATGGACCAAGGGTGGAAGTCAAGAAAAATGACTTTGTCCGCAAGAGATACTCCGTAATTTATGGCCAACATTAACTCTAACAATAGGGTTTTGTTCGTTTTTGTACAATTGTTTGTCAATGTCAGGCGGATTTTTTGAAGAAAAATGTTGAAGTTTCGTACATTTAAAAATGAAAATTTTACTTAATTTATTTAATCCATCGTTCAAGGCTATTGTAGAAGAGTTTTGTTTAGTTTAATCGACTAGTTCTAATTTACTCTCATAATACAAACTTTGTCAAAAACAAGTAACTATAATAATGCGCTTTCTCATTTGTCGACAATAGTATGGCATCAAGAATTTTATTCTAATAATTATCTTTTATCGTCTCTACGATTTTTAAATCTTGAATTACTCCATTTAATATTTTTTAAATATTTTTTCAAATGTAAAATTTTACAGACTAAAAGAAGACTATGAAAATGTGTGTTTCTATTGTTAAAATATTTTTTCACGTATTAATTAATTACATAAAGATTACTATTGCTATTTAAGATATATCAAACAATGTTTGTGGCTGTTTGAAAGATAACGCGAATGATGTATAAATCATAAAATTATCATAAAAACTATTGCTAATTTTAATTCTACGTATCTCTAAAACTAATGTTGACCAAATATAGTCGACTGCGACGAGAGACGCACCTTGAAAGGAATATCCAGTGAAACATGGTCGCATCATCGAGAAATTAGTGGTAACCGTCATCTCAGCCGAAACAAACCTCCGCAAAATAGTCCCGACGAGTTTAGTCCGACACCGAATATTGTAAATCTCACTACCGCACCTCACTAAGCCCTTCGTAAAAACGATATCGGCTGTCCTTCCTCCTGACAAATCTCACAATATTTTGTTCTATCCCGCCTAATTGCAACTCACTCGACGATCATGAAACGGAGCACATAGACAAACACTGAACATACATTCGTAGAAAAGATTCCCGCTCTGGAACGGGTCCATTGAATCCTGGAATTTTGGCTCGGGGTCCAGGCCCGTCGGGCCCAACCGCGAGCTTCTCTTTTCTCAATAAGTCCGTCGAATGGCCGCGTTCACTTGCGTGTATCCGCACTGGAAATGGATGTCGACTGATCGACGCGCTGATCCTGACTAAGTCTCTCGGGGATGGGGTACCAGGGTAACTAACAGCTAGGCACTCCCACCAGCCGCGGTACAGGTAGTTCTCCCCGTACTGCGGGGTTTCAGCGGGATATATCGCCTATACTTGAGGCTGAATTGGACTTCGATGGTACGACAAGACAGACCCACGGTCCTTGGCCACTGGTGCCCATCGTCGCCAACGACCAATCGTGGCACTGCCAGGCCTCTCACCACGCCTCCGATTCCCGCCCAAATGGTACCAGACGATGGGCATCTTTGGCGACTTTATTGCCGCGCTTTTACGAGCACGCTCCATGCTTATATACCGTGCTCGTTGTTCTTCGATGAATATGAGGGTGAGTCAAATTCTCTCGTTCCTCTTATCTCGTTATCATGTGATTATTTTTGTTTGTCAATCGCAATTTAATGATCAAGTTTAGATGATTTTCCAAATTTTTTCTGTCAGAAAAGATCGATGACGAGAATAAAATTCTCTTGCCATTGGAGATGAAATAAAGTTTGATATCGAAAGAGATATCTCAAAATAACTTTGAAGTTTTAAATAAAAAGGATGAAAATGGAGTTTTGTATAATAGGTATTATTAATTTGTGTATTCTATTTGTCTGCAAACACTTGTTTGAAATCCAACAACTAAATACTGAATGTTTTCGAAACTGAAAGATAAATGTAGTGAAAGTAGTCTGTTTTTTTCTTGTAGAATCAGTATGATATAACGTTATAAATATTCTGAAAATTAATAGCTAGAATAGTAGAATTATTTTTTAATTTCTTTTTAACAAATCAATGGAACGAAGCAAGATTATTGGCGGAAGATTAGATATTGGATTGTGTGAAGGAAATTTTCGATAACTTATTAACAAACGCGTCATAAAGCGTTTTCAACAAAATAGTAGCAGTAATGATCGCATCTTTGCTTGTGGAGCACGCAATTAAGGTAATGGGAGAAAACCGGTGATCTTTTCTCGTCGCCAGTTCTATGCGGCGTCATCGCTCGAGCACAGGTTGTGCGCTTCTTACCGTGCATTTTCAAGCCAAGTAAGGCGATTTAGCGCAAATTGTCAGCGCGAGGCGCGTAGTTTACCTAATCTCCAGTGTCAGCTGTTCACGCATGATTGCGAATTACTCCAGGATTCTCGCTTTTTTTCGTCTCTCCCTCTCTTTCTCTTCTAGCGGGCCCCGTTCTGAGCTATCGGGGAAATGACACTGCACGACTGAAACAGGATGCGACACAATAGCCGCGGCGGTGACGTAAGGCGGTGATCGATCGTTTTGGTTTCCCTTAGTAATTAACCACCTTAAATAATGTAGGGTATAATCTCCCGGAAACTATTGTGATAATATATTCAACAATTTATTAATACAGCTTTCAAATTTCTTTTATATTTTCCGCGTACAAGACGAATCATTATTAATGTAGAATATAATATTATTAATTCAATATATCTGATAAGAAACACGTAACTTTTTCAACAATCGCTTGCCCGTTTTGATGCGAAATAATTATCTTCTCGTCTAGTCGCGAGCTGGTAAAAATTTAGCACGGCCTTGTCGAGAGAATATTCTTCCTAGACTGCGGTAGTCCCACGAAGCTACCAGTTGGTCAGAGTACGGTCGAAAAATCGGTCTTATTCGCGGAAATTTAAGAGGTTGCAACAACCATAGGCATGAAGGCATTAAGAAGTTTGTTTTGTCGACGCGACGGGGCACCTTCTCGACCTCCTATAAGCTAAGTTCAGTAAAGATGTAAGTTGTGTTACGTCGATCGTGACGCGTCGGACCTCTGCGCAGATGGGGGTCCCGGACATTCGAGCACGAATCCCAAGATAATGCGTGTCATCTTCAACTAGCCTTCCGTTTGGCAAAAAGTTACGTTAGATAGTGGCATAAATAGGACAATAATATACATTGATGGGGCATCAGTACTATCCTCGACTGAGCGCACGAAAATGAACATCTTATTTTTTTCTCTCCTACATTATTTCCCGTTCAATTGAGATTTCATGGAACGAATCAAGGGTTTCGGACATAAGTTTCCGGAAACGATGGATCACTATCTATTATATTTTTATTTCCCTTTTATATATATTGCAGATGAACCTTGAAAGGCGTAACCAACGGCGTTACCAAAGGTGTGCCAGTTCTCCAGATTTTCAGCTTCCGATTTGTTTTTCCTTTTACTGAAATGTCTTTCTCTCTCATATATAATCAATACTTTCTTATTTATGAAAGCCGTTAAATCTAGGTCTTCTCAAAACTTCCCCTTACGTGATTTTCGCGTCCCGTGCTAAGATATTACAAAGTTGGTGCCGAGGAAAAGACGTTAATTAATCCCGGATACAATCACCAAAAAACCTTTGTTCAACGTCGGTTTGATAATTTCCCGTGACAAAAAGGCGGCGTATCGGACGGTCTCAAGTGTGCCAGGACGGTAATGACGATCCGGCGTGTAAAAAGGCGATCGGCTGGTACGCGGGCGTGAAAGAGGAACGATATACATCGCTCTCTGATGAGCCAGCGAAAGAAGGCGGAGGCGAGAACCTGCAAACAGATGCAAATTGCGCCTCGGGACTCGATCCGCCTACCTGACAACGCGGACAGTAGTGACGTAGACCGTTACGCCGTAAATAATCTACCCCGTCCGAGCATTCAACCCCTACTTCTTCTTCTTCCGTCGCTTCCTCTCGTTTCTTTCTGCGACCTGGTGGCTCAATGTGCCATTAAATAAATAAAAGAAATATTTATGTATACAGTACACATAGCTGATGAGAATGCAGTTCATCCGGTCATAAACCAACTTTAGAAAATATTTTTGAAAATTCTTTGGTATTTTAGCATCGTGCAATGACTGTATTATTTCAGACAAAGAAAATAAAAGATAAATGTTAGTACAAACACAGAGTAATAACAGGAAAAAGTTATACTCGCGTTAATAGTTAAATAATATCTGAAAGCCAAATACAAAGTTATCGACGTTTGCCAGCGCGATTTTCGCGACTAGTACGGCCCGCGCGAATCATGCATGCGTCGGATCATTAATAGCCAATTAATTAGTCTGTCAGACGGCATGTCTCTCGGCTGCAGTAATCGGTCTTCGTGTAAGCGTCAATTAACAGCGGGATGTATTCTCAACGGCAGAGCGTAGTTGATAAATAACAAGCTGCGTCTCGCGTGGAGCGCAAAATTAATCATTTTTATACTCGCGGGCAGCCGTGCTGGAGGATTGCAAATTTTTCGCACGTTATAAATTGGTGCAGAATTTCTAGATAACTCGTTTCAAGTTGCATCTCTTTACATTCTGCTAATTTTATAAAATGACTACGTTAAACATAACGTCGAAAAATATAACTTAACGTTTTGACATGCAAGAATTCGAAATGTTAAATGATTTCTTCTTTTCGCAATTGAGAAAAGTTGCAATCACAAAATTTTCATTCTACAGTATCGATATATTAATATTATTTTATGTAAAGAATTAATACAATGCGTGGAATGTCTTGAGCGTGATAGAGTCACTTCGCCAGGAAGAACTTTAGATCCGTATCGCCTTCTTGACTATTCACAGCCTTTCATGGGGGAAGAAGTGGCAAAACTATTCATAACGGAGCATTTTTTTAGTCGTTAAAGGTGCCGATTTTTTGCTGTTATAACCTATTCATTTTTAGATCCTTCTGTTGGTAACGCTCGAAGGGATTTCAATGTGTTACTCTTACGATGATGTTGACAGATACACAGCAGCGGAACTGCGGGAGTTTCTGAACTCTGAAGTCAATGTTTTCGGTAGTTAAATTTCGCAGTCCGAAAAAGGCGATTAAAATGAAGAGACCTCTCAATTTAGCTTATTCCGGTTGGAATTTTTGAAGATCTATAGATATTAGAGACGTTTTAGAATGTTAAACTATTAATTAATTACAACATAAGACATATTAAAGAAAGTCCAGTACATCTCTTCGAATCGAATCCGACATCGATCAGATAATTTAATAGCTTCGAAATACTCTTTTGTAACATAGCATTTTAAAAGTAAAGTACATTTAAATATTGTATCTGAGTTCTACCATATTTTTTTGTCTTATTGTTTAAATTATTCTTTGTAAATAATTCCAGAGAGAGAGAGAGAGAGAGAGAGAGAGAGAGAGAGAGAGAGAGAGA